TAAATATGTGGTAACTAGAGTTAACCTTTCCTCAGAGGACTTGATCTCATGGATCCTCAGCACCTTCTGTGGTCCAATACATGCTTGAACTTGCTGGATTATACGGAGGGAGGTAGTTCTTCAGGAATTCTGGCCTTATACTGTTTGGGCTTCCTATGTTAACCCCTCCCACCAAAAACCAAAAATAAATTTATGTAGAAGGAGATGAAACCAGTGATGTAGTGGTAACTTTTGCAGTGTGCCCACTTATCATGATAATCCCCATAACTGTTCTCCCAAGGAGAATATTAAAAAATGCAGGCAGCTGCATTGATCCATATCAACAAACTAGTTCTAGAAGTTTTAATCTCTACTGGGAATGAGTCATTTGTTAGGCAAATGGGTTTTAATTTTCCATTCAGCGCCAGGCCACTACAAATAGGGGTAGATCATGATTCATGACAATACATTGTTGCTAGGAAAATTCATTTTCCCTTGCCCTATTATGAGTATTGATACTAAACTTAGAAGGGACAGGGACAGTTGAACAGGGTAGCAAATGACAGTTTTCTCCCTGGTAATCAAAGTGTCCCAGTACTTTCATCTTCTGAGCTGTACATTCACCATGCCACTGTATGAAACAGGTGCTCCATATTAGACTTTTATCATATGTCTTTAAGACTGTGCCGTGGGCACGAGAATCAGCATTGCCACCCTTTCATCACAAAACTCTCATGTTCATATACAGTAATAAGTGCATCAGAGACAGAAATTCAGCAGGTGCAAGGAAGTGATGATAGAACCATGCATCTTTCTGGCATGTGTGCCACTGTCACAGACATAGATGAGTGGCAGCCCAAATTTGGAATTAACTCAGTGCATCATTGTCATGGGAATAAAGATATAAAGTGCATTGCTGTCTTGGCACATCATAAACTGATTGCTCTTATATGCCTGGGATTTCTTCAGGCATGTAAGTGTGGTTTAGTCAATAATTGGACCTCCCCCCCCCCAAGATAGCACCAAGCAGACAGAGGCATCCCAGTGTCCCACAGCCAGCTCTTTTATGCTTTTGTTTATTTATTAGTATGAGCCTTTTGTATTTAAAGTTCCCGTGGTGTGGCTGTCTGAGAACCTGGGAAGGTCAAGAGGGAGGATGTACCTTGCTGGTTCTCCCTGATCTCTCAGCAGCTTTTCATATCATTGACTCCAGTATCCTTATTTATTTATTTATTTATTTGTTTATTTGTTTGTTTTATATCCCACTCATCTAGTCTTTGAATACCCTGGGTGGCTCACAACAAATGGAATAAAACAATTAACAATTTACAACAATAAACAATCATTCAAGATGGGAGAAAAAGAAAAAAATAGATCAAGTTATGCCCAGAGGGAAGGCCTGCCTAAAGAGCCAGGTTTTAAGTTGGCTTTTGAAAGTACCCAGTAAAGGGGCCAGACGAATCTCAGAGGGGAGATTATTCCAGAGATGAGGAGTCACTGTCGAGAAGGCCCGGTTTCTTGTTAGGCCCCTCAGCCACATCTCCTGGCTAGATCGAGTGATACGGGTAGATCTAGGTGGGAGGAGGCGTTCCGCCAGATATCGAGGTCCTAAACCTTTTAGGGCTTTATATGTAATCATTAAGAATTTGAAATCAGTGTGGAAACGAACGGGCAGCCAATGCAATGCAGCCAGGGTGGGAGAGATATGTTGATGTTTCCTCACCCCACTGAGAAGTCTGGCCACCGCATTCTGCACCATTTGTATCTTCCGCATCAATCTCAAAGGTAGCCCCACATAGAGCGCATTACAGTGGTCTAATCTGGAGATTACAAGTGCATGGACCAAAGTGGTGAGTGCCCTTTCTGGACAGGCTCTCCAAGATTGGGATCAGAGGTCTAGCATTGAGCTGGTTCTGGTCCTTAAGGACCATGTCCAGAGAGTCCAGCTTTGGAAGCATTTTTTCAGCTCCCTGGATCCTCAATCGTGGGGTGTACCAGGGGTTGTCAATACCCCCAAAGTTGTTTCATATCTATGTTAAGGTACTGGGGGAGGTCTTCAGGAGATTTGGAGTATCTCAGCTCAGTCTCTCTTTCACCACTTCTGCAGTCGATGCTGTCCAGACACTTGAGTGTTGCCTGGCTTCGTTGACCACTTCTGCAGTCGATGCTGTCCAGACATTTGAGTGTTGCCTGGCTTCATTGCTGGAATGGACCAGGGCTAACAGGCTCAGACTGAACCCAGACAAGATGGAGATTCAGTTCCTGGGAGGCTCCTCTAACAGGTTGTGGAGGATTACCTTTAAACTGGATGGCATTGTCCTCCCATTTAGGAATCAAGTTCACATTTTGGGTGTTTTTCTGTACCCAGCTCTCTCTTGGGATTCCCAGATTGCAGCTGTGTCCAGATCTGCCTTTAACTAGCTGAGGCTTATCATCCAGCTCCACTTATACCTGGATGAATGTTCACTCAGGACATTTGTACACACATTGGTCATTTATCAGATTGATTACTGCAATGCTCTCTCCATGAGGCTTCCCTTGAGGCTGACACAGAGATTACAGCAGGTCCAGAATGCAGCAGACAGACTGGTGGCTGGTGTGAGCAAATTTGATCACATCACTCTAGTTCTATCTCATCTCCACTGATTACCCATTGTGTCCCAGATCAGATTCAAGGTCCTGATGCTAATGTGTAAATTCATTCACTTATTTAAAATATCTTTCTCCTTAAAAAGGACTCAAGGTGGCTTACATCCTTGAAAGACTATCTTTAATGCTGAAAACAATGAGGATACGATGGTGGTTTACATCATTAAAAGCCAATATTTAAAGCTAAGAACAATGAGTATAAAGAGGCAGCTTACATAATTGCAAGACAATATTAAAGCTAAAAACATTAAGGATGCAAATATTAGAAAGGAACAAACAAATACCACTCTGAGAAATGGAAAACACAAATAGTACTAAAAAACCAGTTAAAGCAGTAATGCATAGCAATCCATCTAAAAATCACATTCAGGTAGCCTGTTACTGAGGGAAGGCTTGCCTGATGAGGAAGATCTTTGTCTGCTTGCAGTAAGACAGTGAAGATGGGCCCATTCTGGCCTCCTGTGGCAGGGAGTTCCAAAGTCTGGGAACAGCAACAAAGGCCATCTCCTGTGTCCTCATCAGATGCACCTATAAAGGTGGTGGGACCAAGCGAAAGGCCTAATGATCTTAACACCTGGCCTGGCTTATAATGGGATACATGGTATTTGAAATAGCTGGGACTCAGGTCATTTAGGGCTTTATAGTTTAAAAGCAGCACCTTCTATTATGCCCAGAACCTGATCGGCAGCCAGTGGTGCTGCCGTAGCAGGAAGGTTATGTGATCCCTGTAATCAGCCCCAGTCAACAATCTGGCGGCTACATTCTGGACCCGCTGAAGTTTCCTGATACTTTCAATTGGCAACCTCACATAGAGTGTGTTACAGTAATCCAGCCGGGAAGTAACAGTGTCATAGTGGCGTGATCAGATCTCTCCAAAAATTGATGTACTGTAGCTGGCGCTCTAGTTGTAATTATGCTGATGCACTTCTGGCCACCACTGAAACCTGGGCATCCAGGCTCAGAGATGAATAATCCAGAAGCACCTCCAAAATGCTATGCACCTGCATTTTCAGGGAGAGTGTAACCCCATTTAGTACAGGTTGCATCCCTATTCCTTGATCTGCCTTTCGACTAACACTTCTGTCTTGTCCAGATTAAGTTTCAGTTTATTCACCCTCACCCGGTCCATTACTGATACTAAACACAGATCTAGAGCCGAAACAGCTTCCTCGGATCTAGGTGGCAAGGAGAGGTAGAGTTGGATGTCATTGGCATACTGGTGACATAGAGCCCCAAAACGACAGACAATCCCAGCAGTTTCATGTAGGTGTTAAGTAACATAGGAGACAAAACAACATCTTGAGGAACCCCACAGGTCAGCGGCCAGAGTGTCAGACAAGAATCCCCCCGCACCACCTGAATTCTCTCCTCTAGGAAGGACCACAGCCACCTGAAACAGTGCCCTTTGGGGTTTGGGACCACACTACCTGTGGGAAGATGTCTTCCCCATGTCACCTGCCTGACCCATCCTCTTAGGCTAAGCATCTCCAGGTAGCCACTCCAAAGGAGGCCTGGAAGTCTTCCATGGGAGGTCAGGCCTTCTTTGCTGTGACTCCAGCATTGTGGAACCATCTTCCAGAGGAATGACACCTGGCTGCCTCCTTGTTAACATTCAGAAGACAACTTAAAACATTGCTTTTCAGGGAGGTTTCCTGCACCGACCTTGTTTGATTTTATATCTCCAGTCCTGCCGTCACAGAGAATTGCCTTTGGTTCCACTTGCTCTTATTTTACTAATATTTATTCTTTGTGTACTTATAGTTTATAATTGTATTATTTATGGTTGTAAACAGCCCAGAATAGTGCATTGCACTAATATGGGGCGGTATATACATCGAAGACATAAATGATAAATAAATGTATGCGGCATAATTAGAAAGAATGAAGGGCTTCTGAATATGACTGCTTCGTATTTTAATGTAAATCTCTCTGTGTTAGGAACTATTATATGAAACACTCACATCTGAGCCTATTGTGGTCTAATAAAAATAAGTTGTTGCACATCATTACTTAACTCCAGAATTTGTTTTGATTGGCAGGACTTGCTCCATCAGAGGAGCTGTGCCTATATGCATGTAGTGTGTTCTGTACATGCTTTTATCTGGCTTTTGAATAATCCAGAGTTTGCACATCTAGGAAATGGAAACAGTCAGTCCAGGCCACAAGGTATAACTTGTAGTTTTAAACCAGGTAGCTCTAATTTTTACAAGCTAGGAATGATGAACAGATGTTGTAATATATATATCCTGTTGGGACCACCTTATTTTGAAGCTTATCGCAGGACTTCAGTGCTGGAGAATTGGCCGTCCGGTGGGGAGTAAAATCAGCTGTCCATCCTATTTTTGCTGTGCTTTGAGATGGACCAGTCTCGAATGTCAAATTTGAAAGGGATCGCTTTTGAAGGCGGGCGTGGCTCTTCCCCAACGGGGGCGTGGCCGAGCGAAAGGGGGAGGGCTCGACTGGAGCGGAGGGCGTGGCTTGGTAACATCTGTTTGCTTTCTAGCCAGGAACGCACAGCTGGGATAAAAATGTGAGCGAGGGGAAGGGCGGAGCGCGCGGGCGGCGCAGAAAGAAGCCGCAGCCCTGCCCGGCTGGTCACATTGGAGGCCGCATCAGCGGAAAGGGAAGTCGGAGGGCGTGCACACCCATTGCTCGGGCGGGCCCCAAAGCAAGCCAGCGAAGAAGGAAGGAAGGGGTGGAAGGGAAAGCTGTGAAGCTTCGGGCAGCCGATCTGGACAAGGGGCCGGCTTCCCTGTCCAGATTGTCTAGCGAGGCCGGCTCGCCTTTTTTTTTCTCCAAATGCAATGTACCGCCTCCCGTAGCGCGATGCAGCGGGCCGGAGGAGGAGGAGCGGCGGCGGCAGCAACAACAGCAGCAGCAGCAGCAGCAGAGCCTGGAGGCGGCGGCGGCGGCAGCGAGGCTGTTGCTGCAGCCGCGGCCTCGTACCGGGTGCTGAGCCGTTTGCTCGGCTATGGCGGGGCCGAGTCAGGGGCAGCTGGGCTGGCGCTCGGGGGAGGCGTTGGCGAGACCGCTGCCCTCGCGGTTGGCGACCGGGGGAGGACGGGCGGGCTGCGAGGCTCGCAGCTCTTGGTCTTCCGCCCGGGCGAAGCCGGAGAGCCGTCGGGGGTCACCCGGGGAGCTGGATTGCCGCCGACGGCGCCGCCGCCGCCTCAAGCGACCTCGGAGCTCTTGTGCGCCAGGCACCGGTGCGCCCTCTTGGACACCCCGAAAGGCGAGCCCGGAGGGGGAAGATGCTGGAGCGGCGCGGCTGGCGGCCTCCTCTTGCCCCCGGGAGCCGGCCTGGAGTTCCAGCTGGCCGCCTTGGGGCTCCACCAGGCGCCCCCGACGGCCCCGGCTGGGCCGGGCAAGCCCCCCGGTGATTGCCCCTGCCTCAGCCTCCTGCCGGCGCCGCCTCTCGCCCCGCCGCCGCCTCTGGCCTTGCTACCCCCGGGGGGAGAGACCAGCGATGCCCTCCTAGTCTTGGAAGCTCTCG